CACCGTGGGCGCCTCACCCGTCGGGCCCCGCAGCGCCCACCCGCGGCCAGCCCGGCTAACCCTGCCCGGCCCAGCGCGGACTACTCGCCCTGCTGCTCTGTGCGCGCACCTGCCAGGTGCACGTGCTTCGCAGTGTCCCTGCGCCCGCCTGCCCAGCCTGGCTCCACCGGGATCCTCCAACCCAGCCGGCCCGGGGCTGGCTGCTTCTACTCCCAGGAATGATGCGGGGCAGGGTAGAGTCCGGGCACCTTTGTGTCCTCTGAACCACCCTTGAGAAGAGTGGGAGGAAAGGGGAAAAGAGGAGCGTCGGAAACACAGACTATCTCGGGCGCCCTGCGAACACTCTGAGCGCCCTCAGGTGTCCAGATGCCCTTGCTGGCTGCAGAGAGCGCAAGGATGTTTTTCCGGGAGCGCATCACTGCCGGTTCAGGACGGTTGCACTGCGGAGATGCGAACTGAGCGTGTGTGGAGCGCGAAGGATGATGGCCCAGGCAGGGGCAGGACCACAGGTTTGACTGGTGAACACCGGCTCCAGGGCTTCCTGGGAAGATCAAGGGAGAAACATTTGCACCACCCCAGGGTCACAGAGTTGTCCTTTGTCCTCTGACCTGAGCTGACTGATGCCACATGGAGGGGGCATGAAGTCAGAAGGTCTGTGCTGTTGGCTCCTTGGAGCTGCCTCTGCCCAGGCTACACTGGCCTTTGGGTGGGGCGGAAGGGGACAACAAACAGAAGACCTGCCTAAGGGACATTGAGTGCACACAGATGTTACCGACATCTGCATTTCCAAACCCCAAATATATCAGAAAACTGAGCTTTTAGTAAGCACCAAGGTGGTGGCACAAGCCTACAATCCGGGCACTCAGGAGGTGAAGGCAGGAGGATCAGGAGTTCAAGGTCAGCCTGGGCTACATGAGACCCTGCCTCAAAACAACAGCGATAAAGCTTTGGCACAACCAGATAGCCAAATAGACAAAGCATAAGCCCACCTCACACCACACACAAGAACAGCTTTCAGATAGTTGGAAATTAACTTGAACCTCCAACCTGACCGCCTGTAGTCACCTGACAGGAGATTATCCAGATCAGGTTGGCCTGTGGGCATGTCTGTGAAAGACTGTCTTGATTGTTAAGTGATGTAGGAAGGTCCAGAGCCCACTGTGGGCAGTACCATTCCCTAGGCAGGTGGTCCAGGGCTGTATAAGTAAGCTAGCCAAGCATGAGTCTGACAGGGAACTAACTCCCAAGCAGCATTCCTGCACAGTTTCTGCTGTACTTGACTGTGAGTTCCTTGGTTGTTGGTACTACTGTGTGGAATAGAGTAAGCCTGGTTTCAGGTTCCTGCCTTACCTCCCTCAATGATGGATTGTAACCTGTGAGCTGAAATAAACCCTCTCCTTCCTGATGTTGCTTTTGGTCATGGCACTTGTCAGAGAGACAGAAGAAAGCCAGGACAGATGGATCCAAGGCTTTCTTGTAAAAGTTAAAATAAATCCAGGCTGAAAGAACTGCAGGATGAGGGTGATGGTGCAGCTAGTGGTAGAGTGTATGGAGGGCGCGTGCAAGGCCCGGGGGGGGGGGGGGGGGGGGGGGTGCGCGCCCACACATATACACACACACTCACCAAGATATAAAGAACATCCAACACTCAGTTGCAGACTTGAGTGCTGTGACAAAGTCAGCAAAGGATGAGGCCACTGCACAGGAAAAGAGGTGTGTGGCCTTGGTGCCTCTGGCAAAAAAAAAAAAAAGCCTGGCCTCACTCAATATGAAAATGAAAATTAAAAATACCCTCTGATAACAATGTTCCACTATCTGATTGACAAAACCCCAGACGTTTGATGGTGCAATCTGTGGGCGAGGCCAAGGTGGCAGGTGCTTCCCTCATCACCCGTGGGAAGGGAGTTTTGGCAGTATTAGCCAAAGTGAAGGCACCTTTTGACCTGGAAATCCCACTGCCAGGAACTAAGAATCCAAACTAAGAAAAATAGAAAATGAAGCCAGGCATGGTGGGACCTATGGTCCTAGCGCTTGAGTGGTAGAGGCAAGGAGATCAAGAACTCAAGGCTGTCCTCAGCTACTTAGGGAATTCAAAGCCAGCCTGGACTGCGTAGACCTCATCCAGGAAAAACAGCAAAGCAAGGGGGCGGGGTAGCACAAGCACACAGGCCTGTGCGTTGCAGCATGGCTTCTACTAGCAAATGAGAAGAAGCAGGGGCTGGAGAGATGGCTTAGCGTTTAAGAGTGCTTGCTTTTCAGTCATGAGGATCAGAGTTCAAATTCCAGCACACACATAAAGCGAGGTGAGATCTTGTGCACGCCTACTGTAACTCAGCACTTGGGGAGGCAGAGATAGGATCTCTGGGGCTTCTGGCTGCCAGCCTAGCTGCAAAACTCAAGCTCCAGGTTGAGGAAGAGACTCTGCCTCAAAGAAACAAGTGATAGAGCAGGACACCAGACTCCATCCTCTGACCTCTGCATGTGCACACACAGGTGCATGCATCTTTACACACATGCACATATATACATGCACATACACACGAAAGACAAATACAGTGTCATCCTAACTGACAGGCACCAACTCCAGAAAATGCACCCCAGGCTGAAATCCTCCATGCCCAAGTCTCTTACTCGAGTGGAGTAGTCTGTGCGTAAAATAGAACCCGTGACATCCTCCAGGACAGCTGCAGAGTCCTCGCCATCCCGAGTGCAGAGGAAATGCGAGCTGCAGTATTCTTGCATCGTATTGGTCAAGGGGTAACAAAAGTCTGTACAAGTCCAATCCAGATGTGATTTCTTTTCCATTTTCCATCTGGCGTTGATTGCAGAACCTGGAGATATGGAGCACCAACTGCCTGAACAAATCGAACAGATATTTACATACCAAATAAGTAATCATGTTAAGTTCCTTAGGAACCAGGAGATAAAAGATACAGACACAGAAATCAAAGACGTACAAGCCAGTCTTATACGTGAGTTGCAAATATTACCATAAACTCCACTACTTTGTCTCAAAATTAGTGTATAACTATGGCCACTAAATGTTTGGAAGGAGCTGTGCTGGGGAGATGGCCCAGCTGGTGAGGTTCTTGCTATGCAGGAATGAGGACCCGAGTTCAAGCCCTAGAATCCACATAAAAAAGCTGGGCACGGTGGTGTGTACTTATAAACCCCATACTGGAGAGGTAGAGACAGGCAGAACCCTAGAGCTTGCTGGTCAGTCAGTCTAGTAGAACTGGTCATCTTCAGATTTAGTGAGAGACCCTGTGTCAAAAAAAAGATGGACTGCTGGTAAGGAGCAACAATTGTCCTCTGGGATCCACGGGCACATATACCTGTGCATAGACAGACACATGTAGGTTTGGAAGGCTCTGAGGGCCAAAGGACCATTTAAGCATATCTTTCTCTCTCTCTCTTTCTCTCTCTATGTATGTATCTCTCTCTATATATATATGTCTCTCTTTCTATATGTATGTATATCTCTGTGTGTGTGTGTGTGTGTGTGTGTGTGTGTGTGTGTATGGTGTATGTATATATCCTGGGCACTGCAGCTCACACCTATAATCCCAGAACCTGGGAAGCTGAGGCAGGAGGATTGCTATGAGTTCAAGGCCAGCGTGGGCTACAGAGTAAGAACCTGTCTCCGAAAACAAAAATATGGATTAAAGGCAGATATCTTAAAACCCCATTTACTGATGATGAAAAGTCCTCGTCGCCCTTGGCCGGTTGCTTGGCTCATTGAAAAGCACAGACGGCAGCAGGGTCAAGAGTGACCGGCCTCGCCTCCCGGCACCAGCTTCAGGGCGTAAAGGGGCCACGTCTGCTAGAGGTGCACACGGAAGAATGTGCGGATAGGAGTCTGTGACGCAGGGGAGTTCTTTGAAATGATCGGCAGGAAGAGGGTAAGGAGTCAGGTGAGATTAAGCCAGGCTGCCTCTGAATCGGCAATTGTTGGAACTGCGCTGAGTGCCTGCACTGCATCGCCATATTTACTTTCAAGCGTATTTCCATATTTTTAAAATTATGTTGATAGCTGTGCAGGCACTGAGATGCTCTTAGAAGCCCCAGAGCTGTCCCAGGGTAGGTGGAGGAAGAGAAGAATCCTCCTGGGGCCGCTGAGATGGCTCAGGAGGTAAGCCTGATGAGATGTCACTAAGCCTGACAACCTGAGGTCAATCCCTGGGATTCACATGGTGCAAGGAGGGAACTGACTCCTCCAAGTTGTCCTCTGACCTCCACATGCATGCCTGGTATGCATGCTCACATGTATGTTCACACACACACACACACACACACACTAATTAATTGTGTTTTTCAGGGGATGCTGAGGCTAGAGGGAGGCTGGGCAAGGGACTGCTGTGAGCTCCTTATCTTTTCCAAAGAGCTTGGGAAGGGCGTAATAGAGGCTAGGGCAGGGTGGGAGCCAAGGAGAGAGGGATGCCAGGTACACAGAGCTGGGCTAGGCTGGGCTCAGGGTGAGGTTAAGGCT